AAAAAAGGTAGTTTATATATATAAAAAAAAAAAATAACTGGACAAAAATAAAAAGAAAAAAAAAATTGTGGACAAAAATAAAAAGCAGGTATTCTCATAATACGTTTTTTTAATTAATTTTTTTTAAAAAAAAATGTATTATGGTAATATGTTTTAAAATTATATTTTTAAAATATATTTTTTTAAATAATTAAAAAACATATTTCAATAATACGTTTTATAAAAAAATTAATAAATAAAACGTATTTTGATAATATGTTTAATAAATAATTAAGAAAGTTTAATAAATAATTAAGAAATAAAACGTATTATTAAAATACGTTTTTTTCAGGTCCCTTTTCTGACAATAAGTTGAATTTCTGGCGTTGGTGACAACCCGATAGAGACAAATCCAGATCAACTGGAATCCAATTCCAGATATATAAAACGTATTTTAATAATACGATTTATATTTTAAAATTAATGAAAAAAAATTAATGTGTAGTATGTATTTTGTATTTTGGGTTCGTTTGGGCTCGTCTGAACTCGGAATTTAGTTTCGTTTTTTCCTATACGTAGCTAACGAACCCCTCTATTCAATGATACTTGCATGACCAAATTATTCTTGAAATCATATTCTCCCAAAGCTCTTGACCGATATATTAAACGTGTTTCACGCGACTTTTCTTTTTGTGCCCGTTCGGACTCGTCCAAGCTCGAAATGGATTTCTGCTTCTTCCTATATGTCGTCAAGGAACCATTCTACACCAAGCATGATTGCATTGTCTACTTTCGGGCTAAATCTATTTTTCACGGGCTAAATAATTAGCAAGTCACAAATTATATAAATAGATGGTCCATAGAGGATTTGTTAATGGGTGATTTGTTAATTATTTAGCCCCGTGAGGAATAGATTTAACCCAAAATTTTACTGGGAAATCATGGTTGTGTAGGCGGGTTCATTGGCGACATATAAGAAGAAATGGAACTCAACTACGAGCTTGGACGAGTCCGAACGGGCCCAAAAAACTAAGTCACACGAAATACGTTTAATGTGTAAGTCAAGAGTTTTGAGAGAATATGATTTCAAGAATAATTTGGTCATGTATGAATCATTGAATAGAGGGGTTCGTTAGCTACGTATAGGAAAAAACAGAACTCAATACCGACCTTAGACGAATCCGAACGGGCGTTGTTGTCGTTCGCGGTCACGGCGTCTTCTACCTCCACCAATGTTGGCAGCGGGTTGATGCCTCGCTCTGTGTGACTGTGTACTCTGGGATGGGACGTAGTCCTCCTCGGATAGAACTTGACTGAACGACGCCCCTTGTGTGACCTCTTGGCCTCCAATAGTCAGAGAACTATAGGTACTCTCCCAGATGAGTGCACAGAAGATCAACATATTTGGATGTATAGGGGGTGGATCTTCTGTTAGAACATATGTGAAGTCCACTTGTCTGATAAGGTTCTCCGTCACTTTGGGTGTCAGCAGTTCATCCCCCAAAATCCGATGAATAGTGGTGAGCAAGAATGAGAGACACACCACAGAGGTCGTGGAATGACTGAGAGGGCATTTGGTGATCGGGCCGCCTTTCATTCACAGCTTACCAAGGGCTGCGTCGATGAAAGAGAACAAAATATCCTCGAAGATGCCCTATGGATCACTTTCTACAGGCTGAGTAGGGTTACATTGATTGGTTTTACACTAGGACTGCAAGACTTATCAGTGACCCTATCAGGTACACGGTGGTCCAACAGGACGGCGACTTCAGACATTTGCCAAGCGGGAGAAGTGCGATGTAAGTGTTCAAAATTTGTGGTTTTTTATTATTTCTTTTTTTCTTTTTTGGTGTCTCATACTAATTACTTTGAATTTTATTTTCAGACTCAAGCCAATGGAGGGGGTTTATAACTAGTTAGTGAATATTCAAGACATATTTCCTACACTCCCTCCACGGGCGCAGGCCGCATTCCAACAGTCCTACAACATTGTCTATAGTTATCTTACCAACAGTCCTACAACATTGCCTATAGTTCTCTGACTGTTGGAGGCCAAGAGGTCACACAAGGGGCGTCGTTCAGTCAAGTTCTATCCGAGGAGGACTACGTCCCATCCCAGAGTACACAATCACACAGGGCGAGGCATCAACTGCCAACATTGGTGGAGGTAGAAGATGCCGTGACCGCAAACGACAACAATGCCCGTTCGGACTCGTTTAAGCTCGAAATTGAGTTCCATTTCTTTCTATATGTCGCCAACAAATCCGTCTACACAACCACGATTGCCCGGTCAATTTTCGGGTTAAATCTATTCCTCACAGGGCTAAATAATTAACAAATCACTCATTATAGTGATTTGTTAATTATTTAGCCCATGAGGAATAGATTGAACCCGAAAATTGCCTATAGTTTTCTGACTGTTGGAGGCCAAGAGGTCACACTAGGAGCGTCGTTCAGTCAAGTTCTATCCGAGGAGGACTATGTCTCATTCTAGAAAACACAGTCACAGAGGGCGAGACATCAACCCCCTGCCAACATTGGTAGAGGTAGAAGACGTCGTGACCACGAACGACAACAACGCCCGTTCGAAATTGAGTTCTGTTTTTTCCTATACGTAGCTAACGAACCTCTCTATTCAATGATGCATGCATGACCAAATTATTCTTGAAATAATATTCTCCCAAAGCTCTTGACCTACACATTAAACGCGTTTCGCGCGACTTTGCTTTTTGGGCCCGTTCGGACTCGTCCAAGCTCGAAATTGATTTCCGCTTCTTCTTATATGTCGCCAACGAACCCATCTACACAACCATGACTTTCCAGTCAATTTTTGGCTTAAATCTATTCCTCACGGGGCTAAATAATTAACAAATCACCTATTAACAAATCCTCTGTGGACCATCTATTTATATAATGGGTGATTTGTTAATTATTTAGTCCGTGAGGAATAGATTTAGCTCGAAAATTGACCGGTCAATCATGGTTGTGTAGATGGGTTTGTTGGCGACATATAGGAATAAGCGGTAATGAATTTCGAGCTTGGACGAGTCTGAACGGGCCCAAAAAGTAAAGTCGCGCGAAACACGTTTAATGTATCGGTCAAGAGCTTTGGGAGAATATGATTTCAAGAATAATTTGGCCATGCAAGTATTATTGGATAGAGGGGTTCGTTAGCTGCGTATAGGAAAAAACGGAACTCAATTCCGAGTTCAGACGAGCCCAAAACACAAAACACATACTATATATTAATTTTTTTATTCATTAATTTTGAAATATAAAACGTATTATCAAAATACGTTTTATATATATTTATAAAACGTATTTTGATAATACGTTTTATAAATAATTAAGAAATAAAACGTATTTGAATAATACGTTTTAATTTTTAATTATTTGTTTAGTTCTTAATTATTTGTAAAACGAACCAAAATACGTTTTATTTATTAATTTTTTTTAAAACGTATTCACATTGTCGGAATACGTTTTACACTATAAAAACGTATTTTGAAAATACGTTTTTTAAATAAAAATGTATTCTCAAAATACGTGGTTTTGATTTTTGTCCACATGTTTTTAAATTTTTTGGTTTTTATCCACTTATTTTTTTTTTATTTTTAAATAAATAAATAAATCTAAAAATATTGGACACATCCCACATATGGTTTGTAGCCAAGTGAACTAGCGTACAATCTACACGCAAAAACAAGAATATAACACGACATAATTATAAAGATAAATAATGCAGGAGACAATCGTGACCCAAAAATGTAGCACAATATATAAAATTTAGTTAATTTATATTTAGTACTAAAAAATGATACATATCATATTGTTATCAAATGAAGCATATAAAGTATAAACAGAAAAACTGAAACACAAACTCACCACACACCATAGGTGAAAAAATACCACCCGATGTGCGAGAACTTAAAAATCCCGCACCTTACTTTTGCCAATGACCTCATGCTTCTTTCTTCTGGAGACCCTGCGTCTATTCAAATTCTCATGGATTGTCTTAAGGACTTCGGAGCTAAGTCGGGTCTTGAAATGAATGTGCTAAAATCCAATATTTATTTGGCTGGGGTCAAGGATGATATTCGGGCTATAATCCTTGACGACACCAACTTGCGATGCGGCCCAATGCCCTTTCGATATCTCAGTGTCCCTCTCTCTTCGGACCGAATTACTAAAAAGCTTTTTGATGATATGATTGCGCAAATCGAAGGGCAGCTTAGAAGGTGGAATGAGCACACTTTCTTATGCTGGGAGATTGGAATTCCTACGCTCGGTAATACAAGGCATAGTGTGTTTTTGGATATACAAGGCATAGTGTGTTTTTGGATGGGGATCTTCTACTTGCCTGACATAGTTCGAACAAAAATCATCCAACTATGTAGAAGGTTCCTTTGGGGTTCGAAGAGTGCTCCCGTGGCTTGGGATAGCTTATGCTTGTCGCGGTTGGAAGGTGGTTTGGGGCTTAGAGACTTGACTGCATGGAACCAAGCGTTGCTCACCCGGACACTTTGGAACATGCAAGGAAAAAAGGACACCTTATGGCACAAATGGATTCACAATATCTATTTGGAGGGAAAATCCATTTGGGATTGGGAAATTAGACCGACCGATTCACCTCTCTTCAAAACCCTCTTTGACTTCCGGCAAGGCTTGGTGGAAAAGGCGGGGAGTGCTCGGGATGCGGATGCCCTTCTTCAAAGATGGAAAGCTTGCGAAGGTCAAGAAGGGTCTAGTAGGTGCTACGACTTCCTTAGACCTAAACGACCTATGGTGCCATGGAATGGGATTGTTTGGGGTCCGTGTAACACCCCAAAGCATTCTTTCATCCTTTGGTTGGGGGTGCTCAACCGGCTCCGTACAAGAGATAGACTCGACTTCCTTGAAGAAGATCTGACATGCCCTCTTTGTGGAGTTGCGAATGAATATTCGAGCCACCTATTTTTCGAGTGTTCATTTGGCTCGAAGATTTGGGATGAGATTCGTACTTGAATTAGTCTAAGACATAGGCCGTCTACACTAAAAGGAGTCATCAAATGGATAAAGAAGGAGGCGAGAGGGAGTGGTTGGAAAACCAAGTTGAAGAAAGCAGCGCTTGCGGCTAGCGTGCACTTTATTTGGAATGCTAGGAATCGATTGGCGTTCGAAAATGAATATCAAGGGCCGACCGTTGTAATTCGGAAGGTTAAAACTCATGTTTATTGAACTATATTTGCCACCTATCCGAATGTTCTTGTTGAATTTGAAATGAGATGCCTTGGGCTTTGAGAGGCACTCTTGGAGTCGAAATGGGTCGAAAATCGGTTAAAAATGCCCAAAAATATGAGAAAATATCCCCAGGCACGAATTGGCCCGAGCTGGCCCGGAGAACTCGCTCCCGCGAGTTGGATTCCGCGAGCAGGGATCAATCCGCGAGCTGCAGACCATGAACAAAGCCTAAAATTCGAGCCTGCGAAAGTCTCCTATTCTGCTAACTAGAACTCGCGCCTTCGCTCAAGAACTCACGCCCCGCGACCCTGCTTCCAAGCCCGCGTCCTCGCGAGTCCGAAGCTTGGACATGATCTACATTTCGCGCGCGCGAACTACTCCGCGTCTTCGCGAGTCCTCCCTTCTTCAGCGCGTGGCCTGCACATCGTGACCCATGCCTGTGACCAGCGTGTGAGGTCTCGACCAAGCAGCCCAAGTAGATGTTTCAAGACCGTTCTGGGCCGTACGAACTCGGATTTGAGAATCGTTTTTTCCTGTGTGTACCTTATGAATAGTTAAATAATCCAGAGTACTTGAGAGTGACCAACCGATTTGTGGTTGGCCTCGTTTATTTTTTCTGGCGAATGAGGAACCGGCTTAGCGGTCCCCGTTACGCTTTTGTATGCCAGTTAACGGTGGTTTGAATCTTTGTTGATATATATATTTACATTTAACGATAAAAAAATATATATATTTGCCACATGTATATTATTATGCAGTTAAATTTGCATTTGCATAATAATATAAAGGAAATTCAGAATAAATTTAATAAAAACAAAAGCCGAGATTCATGAAGCTACACAAACAAAACAGCCCTTTATTCCACAAATCATGTACAGAAACAGAAGTCCAAAACAAATCCCTGAAGAACATAACATGAAAGGCTAAATTAAACATCAGCCAACAAATCAGTGAGTAAGACATAAATTAATTACAGCCAAACTTAAAAAGTTGCAACAATTTTCCCCTTTTTACAACTTCAGTGTTATACTTCCCTATAATAGAAACATTTTCTACAATCACGATCACAAGTTTTCACAGATTCTTCAAGCTCCGATGATCTCCCCACAAAGATCCTCGGTTTTTGAAGGCTCGACTGCTGGATGATGCTTCCCATGTTGTTTCGACTGATGCTGAGACCAATAAGAGTGAGCTACTAAAACACGGTCAAGCAGCTCTTGTGGGACCGGCTCACCTCTTCTTTGGTGAGGAGATATGCTGGCCGTGTGGACAAGTGTCTTCCATTTATCCTGTACAAAAATCAAATCAACTTTATGTTATGAAAGTGTACAGCAGATTAGGGCCTAGCTGCTAGAAGCAATGGGGCATCTTTTGGAATATTGCACATAAACAGCAAGTTACTTTAAGAATCTTTTGGAATATTGCATATAAATAGATATAGGGTCTACCCAAAAGCACCCATGTGCATGATTCCTTTTGCCTTCTTATGTCATATCACCAATTCACAAGATTCATTTGTGTAATGATATTATTATTAAAAATTAAAAGAATAGTGAAGATGATAAGATAATCCGAATCAGTAACCACCTCCTAAATAGGAAGATAAAAATGACTACGGAAAAACAGATTAAAATCTTAAAATCCAAACTGTCCAGCAAAATTAGCACAAGTAATGAGGAAATGCTACGCGAGATAGATTACATGTACAGATTACTCAGCATACCTTCAAGTCAACATAAGTTCTATGGTCAGCATTCTCAAAAGCACCTATTTTGACATCACGCCACCTGTAAAATGGGGGGAGGGGAAATAACTTAAAATTAATATTTTTGAATGAAAATGCAACGGATAACATTAAAGGGCGCGTATATTTAGAAACATTCTTTTCATATTTAATGTCATGCCAGAGATGATATACCTTCCGGTTCCGAGTTTTTCAACTTCTCCAACAAGAGCCTCGACTTCAGCCACTGAGAAGGGTCTCCTGGTTCTACGCTGTGAAAGTTCACTACGTTTCGGTTTGGACACGGGGACCACTGCAAGTGGGCCCACGTTTATTGGAGACAATTCTACCAAAGCATTTTTGTTGGGGTCGGGAGCAGTAGCTGCTACTCCATCCATTAGTTCATCTACAGGAGAGTCGGAGGATGACAATATGAGTTCTTTGTTGTCCACATCGTCATCATCGGATGTGGGACCCACACGAGCGGTAGGTGGGTCCACTGAGGCATTTGAGATGGCTGAATCCGTGAAAAGAGTGGGTGGAGACCTGAAAAGTAAATACAAAATGAGAAAACTAATACAAACTCTAGCACATGTTATTTCTAGTTATTGTCGTTATTACTAGAATATTTCTTCTATTAAGATTTTCCAAAGAAGGTCTACTACTATCCTATTCCTGTGCAGGAAGCAATTAAAGGAAATTCACTTGGCTGAGTTCATCACCATCAAACCAACCATATAGGTGGAAAGAAATGAGGAGAAAAAGTGAGGTATTATATTACATACAATCATCAAGGGTAGTTAAATAGTAGAAAGTTTACGAAAAGGATAAAAGAAATCGTCATGCCTTGGTAACTCTGGAATTTCTTCACATGTCAATACTGGGGAGGGTTGCTTAACAGCAACATTGGATGAGGAAACATGAGTAAAACACGGCTCCAAAGTAAAACCCAGGGTACCAAGGTCATTATTCAGAGAAATACCAGCCTGCTGCAGAGTTCTATTGTCATCTCTGATCTTCTTCCCTTGAAGAAGTACACCTACTCGTATTCCACTTCCCAGAATAGCTGTAACTGCTTCCATCACAGTTCTCTGAAAAGAATCCGAAGTACATAACTCAGTACATTCAGAATTATTAAGCATAGTTCAATGCAGGTGTAATGTCTCAAATCTAAATGATGTTCACAATGACCGCATCATTTTCAAATAAAGACTGCAGTTCTAAATGATGAGCCTTCAAAATATTATTAAAAAAAATGCAAAAGTGAATGAACACGAACCTTTAGAGAACCAACACTTGCAGTTTCAGGGAGATCAATGTAGAGTTCTGGCACCTTGAAAGACTTAATGCTAAATTTCACTGGTGGAAGAGAAGAAAACAGTGTAAGAACTCCTTTGTATCACCTCTTTATATCACAAAATTGAAATTAAGCTAAAGAGAAAATTCCATATCCCACATGGGATATATTTGTACCTTGTGGGTCCTTGCCTTTTGAATTAACTTTCACCGTACCACAAGCTGCAATACAGTAAAAAAAAAAAGAGAAGTATATCAGAAGTACTGTCAGCACGTGACATTCAAATTCTAAACAGAGGACACAGGCTGAGCGAATATTACCTGTCCTATTTCCCTTTTCTGGCAAATTTGAGATACTATTGCTGCTGGTATCTTGATCATAAGACACTGAAAATCTGTTATCAAACAACTTCCTTTTCTTGATAGGTGCTTGTTGACAGCCCTCTCGTGTATAGATTCGCTTCCTATACTGGTAATACGACTTCATTCCCTCGCCTGAAAATATAATATGAAGAAACATAGTTATGTATGCACAAAGGACAAGTCACAGAGAAATGAAGAATATTGTACTCACATAAGCAATACTTACTAGTGTTATATAGATCATAAGCCTTCCGCCTTGGAACTACCTTTCTGTATTTGGATGTCATCATTTTCCTTATTCTACGGTGTTCAGTTCGTGGACGAGGCTTGAAGGGCCTGACCTTGGTGCTAAGTTTCTTACACCTATAAGAATTTTCGTCATCATCTCTAACTCCTAATTTTACATCAGCCGAGTGCTTCAAGCAAGCATCAGCAACGGGCTCCCTGTACACGGGTAACTGTACACTACTATCTGAATTAATTATCATATTACTATTCACACATTCTTTGTTCAGTTTTTTTACATCGGATGCAATTAAGAGTCCACCTATCTGACACTTTTCATCCCCCAAATTCATTTTTGGTCGACTCTCGACTTTAGAGTTGAAACTATCACCAAAACAAGCTGATCCCTCAACCCTAGTGTCATTCTTCTTGAATTCACACTCTTCAAATTTAACACTACTATCAACTTTCTCTAGGGCATCCGAACTCACAGGTTCGGAAGTGCACTCTATGACAGAATTGAACTCAGATTGCAATTTCTCCTTGAAATTGGGTAGGAGATTCTGCTCTTGAATGGATACTTCAGGAACAAATGCACTCTCAGCACAGCTTCCATGTCCAAAGCTATCGGATATCAAAGTTTTATCATCTACAAGCTGTCCCTTCTCATTTCCATTTCCGGAAATAACTCGCTTATCTTTTCCTCCGGCTACATTACTTGAGATAGAGCTTTCACTCTCTTGCAACAACTTACCAGCTACAGCAGCAAGTAATTCAAAAGCACAAAGCTTGCTGTCTTCGCATGAATCCTTGAGTGGGACTCTTCTCTGGAAAGAAAAACATAGATAAGATGATTAGTGACATAGCTAATAATACCTAAGGCGGTGGAGAGCACATGATTCGGAAAAATGGTTACCCTTATTGATCGAGGAGCTCTGGGAATAACGGGAGCTCGATAGCCACGAAAACCATAATCCAGCCTCTTTCTTGATACCATATCTTAGAAAGCATGCCAATATGAGATCATTAAATGCAGTAGTCTGATGTTGCAGAATAAGCCCCAACCTGTTGAATGTAAGGCAAACCCCATTTGTCAATTGCTCAACAACAAAACCCTTACTACAGAGCCATAACAATTTGCAGAATCAGGTTCAATTATACATGGACTCTTGAAATGGCAACTTTTATGGTTCGTCATTCCAAAGAATATTCGGGAAAATCTACGATCCATGATTAAGAATATTGATCAAAGATGCCGAAAAATCATAAATCTGAAAGGCTTAAGCTGTCAAAGATCAATTCCATGTCAAAGGTAGAATACGATCCATGATTAAGAGTTTGCTCAAAGATGCCGAAAAATCCTAAATCTGAAGGGTTAAGCTGTCAAAGATCAATTGCATGTCAAGGGTAGAATTTAGGAAATCAACCAAAAAAACAAATAGATCCTCATTATAACTATGATCTAAAACAACACGATTTACATTTGGACGAAATTTGTGTATTTCAGTTTCCTTTTGTTTCAATAGCAGAATTGAAATCTCATCAGATCGTGACCCTGATCAAACTGAAATTCCAAATTTGAATTTTTTTTCCAGATCGATAATTTTATATGAAAATATAAATATCAGAAAGTCATTAAAAAAACCAAGGTAAAATTCAAACCCCAGATTAGCTACTCGGTTAAAGCCAAGACCCTTATTTTTCAACGATCAAACAGGAAACATCATTTGTTGCCGAACAAAACGAAAAGGGGAGAAAAAAAGGCGAAAAATGATCAGATCCCCCAGGATCAACACGATTTCCAACAGTTCGTCGTGAAAATCAAATCAACCAAAGTTTACGAAGATACGAAAAGAACATAAAAAAAAAAGAGACCAACTCACAGAATTTCAAATCAAGAATTCAGAATTAAGACATCACAAACGTTTTTAACAAAACAATCAAAAATTACCAGATGATTGATTGTTCTACGGAGACAATCAACAAAACAACAACTGCTTCTTTATTCCTTCGTTTTCTGTACAGAATTCCAACTGGTTACACTAATTTACGAACGTCACGCAAATAAACTCTGCACTTCAGAAGAAAAACAGAATGGAAAATTGGAATTTAAAAGAGGAAAGCGAAGAAAATAAAATTGATTATAATGATAAAAGTTCTTTAATATAAAACCTCTTGTGGGTTTGGGTTTGGGTTTGGGGAAGGCCAACCAATAACCGAACTACAAAGTATAGCTTAAACCCCTTTGTGGGTTAGAGATTTATAATACTTTAGTTAAGGATAAAACTAAACCTGCTATAGCAGGTAATCAGGGGTAAAATTGTCCGGTAAAAATTGGCCAATCTCGGTAGGAGGGGTTTTGTGGACGTTTTGGGGATGGGAATGGTGGGAACCACATCCAAATGGTTCTCAAATTGTTCACCACCACAACTCATCTCTCTAAGATAGAATATGCCATTTGGCAATGTGCGCGCGTGTATCTCTCGTTTTTTCATTTTTCTGTTACATGGAAAAATACAAATTGTTTGTTTTTGGTTGAAAATTACAAATTAGTT